CACAGTCAGACTGGTGTGTGCCTTCTCTTCCCCTCTCGTAGGGGTGAGATTCACTGTGGGGTGGCATGGCCCATCTGGGCTACTTGCACACTGCCAGGCTTGTGGTGTTGGGGATCTGGCGTATTAGCTGGGGTGGATCAGCAAGGTGCACAGGGGCGGGAGGGGCAGGCTCAGCTCGCTTTTCCTTCGGAGATCCGCTTCCGGAGGCGCCCTGCGGCACCGGGAGGGAGTCAGACCCGCTGGAGGGATGGATCCACAGAAGCACAGTGTTGGGTGTGTGTGTGGTGCAAGCAAGTTCCCTGGCAGGAACTGGTTCCCTTTGGGATTTTGGCTGGGGGATGGGGGAGGGAGATTCAAATTTTTCTTAAACGCTAGTCTCTAGGTAGGGTTGGGAGCCTCTTTTCTGGTATCATAGCAGCTTTTGAAATCTCCATTCCCTTGGTGGGGCTTGAACTCACAAACTGTGAGATCGTGACCTGAGCCAAAGTTGGATGCTTAACCTTGGTATGCCCAATTGTAGTGATTTGTTTAAATTTGTCTTCCACTAAATTTGTCTTCCTTCTATCTTTGAGGATAGATACCATGACTTAGTTAAACATTTTTATAAATTTCTGGTGCCTTGTACAGTACAAAATGTGTAATAGGTGATTGGTGAACAAATGAATACATGCATGCCATTGGTGAATACAAATGGAACACATGCGTGCCATTTTCAACTAGTCACTTGTTCTGGAAAGTCTGCCTAGTACTAGGTTAAAGATTTTAAATATCTCTCACAGAACTTAAATTTTCAAATAGTTGAGGATTCTGAATTAGGTACGTTAATTTCATTAGCCAGTCTTTCTCTTTTTTTTCCTTCTTTTCTGGATGACTTCTGTTTCAAATCACAAAATGTTACAGCTAGAAAGAGAGCTTACAGATCATCTAATTCTGTCCCCTGCTTGACAGACTACAGAAGGGAGGAGTTTGTGATTATGAAAACAGGCAGTGGTATCTGAGACTCAGTTACATCTTAGACTCTAACTCCAGTGTTGTTTAACTGTGGCAGGCTGTTTTTTAAAATGCTGCTATTGTTATAATAATAGTATAAATAGTATAATAACTATTTATAATAATAATACAATAATAATAGTAGCAATAGTAATGATAATAACTGTGCTATTATTTGAGTTCCTTCCTGTAAAGTAGCTCTTTTACCTCTATTTCATGCATGAGGAAAATAGAGAGTTAGCAAGGTTAAGACACTGTCTCCAGCCACACAGCTAATAAATGATAGAATTACATTCATCTGGTTTGTTCTCTTTCACTTCACTCTATTGTCTGGTTTATGCATGGTACCTTTAGAAACAAAATTCACAATCTTTTATGTTCATGTTATTTTAAAACGAAAAATTACTTGTTTGGAACATTACAAAAATCTTAACTTTGTTTCCTAATCTGAAAGGTGTGGGTTAAGACTAAAGAATCTCCGTGGTCCCCATGGGCTCTAAAACTCCTTTGATGATGAAAATAGGTCACTCTGGCCACCAGTAGCAGTATTAGCACTAAAACTCTAGGTTTCCTCAAATCAAGAGTTTGATGATGTTTTTACCCTATCCTACGGTATTGGAAATTGGGTCCTCCTGGTTCATTTTCTTGAAACCAACCTACACCGATTTCTTTCACAGAGAAATCGGTGTAGGTTGGTTTCATACTTACTGTGGAGACTGAAGCTTTCATTTTGTCTAAACATTGAGTTCTTTTCAGTCTCTAACTGAAACTTCTTGAATGACAGCAGATACATTCATATAAGTTCTTAGAGAGATTTTTAAAAATATCTCTTTCCAACTGTAATTCTTAAAGATAATATGTCAGCTTTATGTAAACTTTTGGAATTTATCCAGTAATGAGCTTGTTAGCCATTTCAGTTTTACCTGGAATTTTTTCAGATATTTGCATGCTTAATGTTGATCTAAAAATTAAGTGTGGAATCTCCCCTAAACTCTGACCACTGTAGGCCTCTTTTTCCATTTATTGACTTCTTTGTTTTCTTATGTCAGGCTTTCTATAGGGCCTTTAAAACTTTAAAATCAGTAATGGAAGTGGAAAGCACTTAGCCACAGCATAGGATGTAGTTCACAAAGGAAGGAAAATTACAGTTGGTCTCCCAATATAAAATGTACTTTTAGTAAGTCTCCGTAGAACAATTTAAAGCTGTTTCCTTACAATCATTAGATTTTCTCTAAATATTTCAAATGTAGTCATTCATTTTAGTTTTCTCCCTTATGTTAACTTACTAAGCTCAGTTCCTGAAAAATAACTGTTTCAAGTATAGTTTCTAATGTAAACCTTGCATATGCTTTACTGTCTTGTGATAACAAAGAATGCCCTTGGAAGAGTTTTATAAGCTACTTTCCTGAGGGGGTGCCTGGGTGGCTCAGTCGGTTGAGTGTCCGACTTCGGCTCAGGTCATGATCTCACGGTTCATGGGTTTGAGCCCCGCATTGGACTCTCTGCTGACAGCTCAGAGCCTGGAGCCTGCTTCAGATTCTGTCTTCCCCTCTCTCTCTGTCCTTCCCCTGCTCACACTCTGTCAGTCTCTCTCTTGAAAAATAAATAAAAACTTTAAAAAATAATTTTTTTTAAAGGTACGTTCCTGAAATTCTTCAAGAAATTCACAGTTGAACAAGAAGAAAATACTAAGTGCATCTGATCTAAGAGACCAGATCTAATTTCTATTTGTTCTTTTATAGCCATACCTTACATTTAAGAAATGGAAATAAACCTATGTGACTAGAAACAACCTATAATTTTGGTGTCAAACGCTATACATTAAAAGCTTTATTGAGTAAAAATAATTGTATTGAACCAAAACTCATTTTTAAGTTGAATATTGTTTCCAGATTTTATTGAGACGTTCACCAAGTGTCCTATTTTTCCATTTTTAGAGTATATCTCTTAAGAATCAGGATTTAGGATGATGGATTTTTAACCCCACAACAACAAATAACAAAACAATGAAAGTAGTTAAAGATTGTGCTATCTCTTCCAGGCATTCTACTGTAAACTTATATGCGTTCTCTCAATCCTATAACAGAATTACTAGGTATAAATGTTATCCTCATTTTACAAGTAAGGATTTAAGTCTTCGGTTCAACGTCAGTCAGCTAGCAAGTAGCAAAAACAAGATATTTGAATTAAGTTTTCTATTTCCAAGAAACTTTTGTGCTTAACCTTTATTGCTAAAACTACTCTTGCATGGTCCTTAATTATCAATAGTACAGACACTTCTGAAACTGCTGGATAGTTGTTCTTTAGGAGTGTTCCATTGTATCTTTCAAGGGATGTTAAGCAGCAGTTTTTTAGCAGCCAAATTTTGGTGATACTCAACCAGTTAATCACCATTCCCCAGTTACAAGGACTAGCAGTAATTCTTGTTTTTTTTATCTTAATTAGTAGGATTTTTCAGTCACCAGTGTCATAGTGTTAATTTTTATTCATTGCCTGGTAGTGCTTGAGGAATTGGACAAAGCAAATCACCTTTCCACGTTTTGTTTTCTTTAACATTTGTTTTTACTGTTTGTTTATTTTGAGAGAGACAGAGAGACAGAGCATGAGTTGGGGAGGGGCAGAGAGAGACAGATACACAGAAGCCAAAGCAGGCTCCAGGCTCTGAGCTGTCAGCACAGAGCCTGATGTGGGGCTTGAACTCACGAGCTATGAGATCATGACCTGAGCGAAAGGTGGACGAATAACTGACTGAGCCACCCAGGCACCCCTACCTCTCCAAGTTTTGTAATGTGTCTATTTAGAACCTAAAATAGGCATTTCTTTGGAGAGTTTTCTTTTGGGAGATATGTTTTCTGCTTGATTTTAATTTTATAATCATTGTATTTATAGATTTAAAAATATATATATTTCTAAGTATTTCTTATTGTAGATCAGGAAACATGAATTAAATAGCTTCTTGATCAGAATTCACTGTCTTGTGCTTGTCTATTCTTTTATAACTGTATTGATGATAATTACATAGTCTGATGTTAAATAATCCTAATAGTTTGTCTCTCTTAACAGATTTTATTAAACAAAGAAGAGCAGGACTGAATGAATTCATTCAGAACTTAGTTAGATATCCAGAACTTTACAACCAGTAAGTAATTTTTATTGTTTTAAAGAGGCGCTGAAACCAAACCTAAGAATAATGAATAAGCTACTGATCTAGACTTTATACGTTCTGTGGAATGTTACTGTGCTGTATATGTTTGTAAAATTATCAAGCTGTTTTTCCCTGGTATTCTTTTTTTTTTTTTTAACGTTTATTTATTTTTGAGATAGAGAGAGACAGAGCATGAATGGGGGAGGGTCAGAGAGAGGGAGACACAGAATCTGAAACAGACTCCAGGCTCTGAGCTGTCAGCACAGAGCCTGATGCGGGGCTTGAACCCACGGACCTCGAGATCATGACCTGAGCCGAAGTCGGCTGCTTAACCGACTGAGCCACCCAGGCGCCCCTCCCTGGTATTCTTAAAACTCCTTTTCCTCCCATCAACTCAAGGCCCTGGTTATCTTCTTTCTTCCTTTTGTACTTGTATTAGTTTTGTAGATTAAACTTAAAAGAAATTTGCATAGCCCATAGTTAAGACATTTTTCTAACTATATTTGTTCATGTTATATTTATACTTGCATTCAAAAAGGATTTGTTAAATCACTATGCTGTATACCTGAAACTAATATTACACTGTAATGTTAACTAACTGGAATTCAGATAAAACCTTTTTTTTAAAATATTTTTTTTAACATTTATTCATTTTTGAGAGACACAGACAGAGTATGAGCAGGGGAGGGGCAGAGAGAGAAGGAGACACAGAATCTGAAGCAGGCTCCAGGCTCTGAGCTGTCAGCACAGAGCCTGACACAGAGCTCGAACCACGGACCACGAGATCATGGCCTAAGCTGAAGTCAGATACTTAACTGACTGAGCCACCCAGGAGCCCCTAGATAAAACCTTTTTTTAAAAAGCATTTATGAAGTACCTGCTGTATGCATTGGTATATAAGGAGAACTTTCCAAAGGCACAGGCTAGTCTAGTGGGAGAAACAGACATGTAAATCAGCAATTGAAGGTAGGAAAGTTTTATGATAGAGGTGCTAGAAGATAATGGAGAAAAATGTGGCCAGCTTTTCTTCAGAGGAGGTCAGGCAAGGCTTCCTGGAATTTAAAGGATGTGCAGTTGTTCAGGAAAAAGTAGGGAGAGAGCATCCAGACAAAGGGGGCAGAATCTTCAAAAAGCCTGACATATTGAAGATACTTACGTGTTTACATTTCATCTCATGTTAATGAGTTTAAGCTTCTTTCTGTAGGCCAGCAGCTCCTGATGAAGTCAGAAGTCAGAAGTCAGCAGCTCCTGATGAAGTTCCTCTATAGGAACATATAGGTAGATCCATGGTTTGAGATGTGTTTTCAGTTGAGTTTGATAATTCATGGGTATTCATTATATTTATTATGATTTTTTTTTCAACGTTTTTATTTTATTTTTGGGACAGAGAGAGACAGAGCATGAACGGGCGAGGGGCAGAGAGAGAGGGAGACACAGAATCGGAAACAGGCTCCAGGCTCTGAGCCATCAGCCTAGAACCCGACGCGGGGCTCAAACTCACGGACCGCGAGATCGTGACCTGGCTGAAGTCGGACACTTAACCGACTGCGCCACCCAGGCGCCCCTATTTATTATGATTTTTAATTTACATATATGTTACCTACATTATCTTATTTTTACAATTTTTTTTTTTAATGTTCATCTTTGAGACCAACAGAGACAGAGCACAAATGGGGAAGGGACAGAGAGAGAGGGAGACACAGAATCTGAAGCAGGCTCCAAGCTCTGAGCTGTCAGTACAGAGCCCAATGCAGGGCTCAAACTCGCAAGCTGTGAGATCGTGACCTGAGCCAAAGTCGGACACTTAACTGACTGAGCCACCCAGGTGCCCCTTACATTGTTTTGCATATATAAAGTATTGTGTTCTAAGAAGAAGTAAAGGGGATAAAGTAAAATGTCTGGGGAGCTTTTCCATAGCTCACCTATCTGTGTAGACATGAAGATTGCCTTATAGACAGTGATGCAAACAGGACACCCTTTAATAGTCTTTTCAGAATCACAGCCTGAAGGACTGTATATTTAGCAGTTCTAAAACAAGTGACTACCATTTGTGTAGTTCTTCACAGTATAATTATTGAGGGCTTATACCATTCTGAGCAAGTCTTCTGACCTCTTTTTTTAACTTAATTTAATTTACTAAGTTAGTAAAATTCTAGAACTGGACCTCCTCTGACCAAGGTCTCCTGCCCAGTGCTTTGGATTTTCCCTCAATGCTCACAGGTAGGATAAGCTCAGGGAGAGGTGTGGCACCTGTGGTAGCTCTGGGGTTAGCCAGTGCATTAAGGAGCAGGTGCCTTTCCATCCTGAGCCTCTAGCAAGTAACAAACACAAAATTAGGGAGGATCTTTGAACTCAGGATTTGTACATCTGGTCTTTTCCTCAGCAAAGAGCCTTTTGTGATTCGGCTCTCTGTATAATTATTTTTTAAACATTATGCCTTTGCCCTAGGACAAATTCTGTGTCTTCAGCTTAGATCCATCCCTCTAATCTTTAATTTTTGCTGTATGCACTCATTACTTCTAATTGGCATATTAGTGGCTTGTTTTAAATATAATGTATACATTAAGAGGTCGAACGTGTCTTCTTTGACAGAGCCTCACGTGGAATAAGTATAGAATAAATGGTGGTGATGGATATTATTTCTCCTGACATTTTGAAGTGTTACTCAGAACTTGTAACACTTTATATTAATTTCTAAATATTCATCCTGGATCTGGAAAGTAATAATATAAAAATGTTATATTTGGTATTAAAATTCAACTAAAAGCAATTTGATTATATTAATTTTAATTATACATTTGAAATACACATACCATAAAATACACAATTCTTAAGTATACAACCCAGTGGATTTATATGTACATATACAACCTGTAACTACCACCATTCTATTCATGGTCGAGGACATTTCCAGTACTTCAAAAATAAATAGCCAAGAGTTTTTTCAAACTTAATTTTTAACTGCTGTTTTCTTTTTAATAAAAAAATGACATTTCATATTTTTTGAATCTCCTCTTGATGTTAACCAAGCTTTGCTAATTTTCACACTTTTCATTTAAACATCAAACTATAAAATAGTACAGATTTAAGAGAGCAAGAAGAGAAACCAATCATCAAGTGTATTTCGAACACTTACTATGTGCCTCTTATTCCCAGTTAGGGAAATGCACTTTAAAAATACTTCTACTTGAAAAAAAAAAAAATACTTC